GGGGGGGGGAGATGGATGGGGAGCGACTGTCAAGAGAGGGAGAAGGAGCCCGGCGTCATTTCCATGTCCTCCACACACCGATGCTCCCGGCTGCTAGAGGCAACTTTACCAGGCCCCAGGATCACTTGCCAGTTTCGAGCATCGGTGGCCGGCCGAAGCCCTCAGCCACAGGAGAGGGGGCTTCTGCCACAGCCGTGGTGCCGTTTGGGATGCGGCAGCCCAGCGTGGACCCTTCTGGGCTGAAGTTTCAGCATGACTCTTTCTCTGTGGGGAGGGGGCCTGTGGGCCAACCCACAGCCACTGCCCAGTCATCTCTGACATCCGCCAAGCAAAGGAGACCCCCGTCCCCTGCTTTGAGTCACCTCTAAGGATGCAGCCTTGACGGGGGGGGGCGTCATTCCAAAGCAGCTCTAGATTCATCCAGGGGCAGGATGGATCGTGCTTCTGACCCCCAAGGGTCCCCGCCACCCTCTCGACCAATACTCCAAGGCCTTGCGTGCCACAGTGCCCATAGCTGCCAAACCCCGGTGCCCCCTCCCCCGATAAGGGCAATGCCAAAGAAAAGGCAGCTGGCGGGCGTTGTCGTTTGCCAGCCAGCAGACCAAAGGCAGCGTGCGCCCGTCCCCGGCGATGCCAAGGCCTCTGAGTCAGGTCTGGTTCCCGATAGAAGAGGGAGGTCTGATGTTCCCCGTTGTGTGACTTCAGCCCTGCCATTTGCCCTTACAAGGACTGGCTGGGCCCAGAGGGGACGGGGTTTATCTGCCTTTGGAAGGGGCTTCTGGGCTGATGCAACCTGAGTGCAAAGACAGCTCCCGGCTTCCAAGCCCTTCAGCCTTTGGAACGAGCTGGGATCTGTCAGGAAGAGGTCTGGGCCCCTCCTCCTCTTCCTCCGCCAGGCAGGAAATGCAAAGCCCTGCTCAGGTTCCTCTCCTGGCCTCGGGAGAGGAGATCTTGGGCCCCTCGGCCAGAAATCCTTGCCCGTCCGGTCCCTCTGCCACTCAAGAGCTGCTAAAGCCCTTGGCCACCGGCTGCTTCACCCTGGCATCCTCTTATCAGCCTCCAACACTCTTGTGCCTCCCAGGAGCCCGCTTGGCCGAGGCCCAGGTCTGCTTTCCCCAGAGGTGGCCAGGAACCCGGGGGAGGAATTGCCAGAAGCCTGTGGAGGCCCAGCGTGGCCTCCGGTTTGCCCCAGAGGGTGAGGTTTTGTGGCTGTTTTGCCCCTGGAAAAAAAGCCCACTGGGTTTTGCAACTGCAGCCTCTCTGCTGCAGCCTGCCGTCGGTTTCAAAGAGGGGGGGGCGGCGTCTGCCGTATACTTTTCTCTTTTCAAGAATATTGTTATCGTTTCCGCAGCTTCTGTTTCTGTTCAAAGTTGTGTTTTCGAACCTTTTGAATCCAAATGGTTTGCCACGCCGGACCAGATGGGAAGGAAGCCCTCCCTGCCCCAGCCCTGCCGGGTCTGCTTCGGTTGCTAAAAACAGGCACGAGTGACCGATGCAGAAACAGGTGGTGGGTCGAAGGGAGGGGCTGTCCAGTTTTGTCCCCCCCCCCCGTCAGAATGGGAGGGAAGTAGCCACATTTAACTTTCTCCCAACTTCTCCAAATATTTCTGCTCTGCAGGAAGCTGGTGATTCAGCTGCATCAGTCGTCCCGATGCATATTTTAAGGTCTTCCATCACTTCCACCATCTGGTCTTAGCTATTAAAAAGTGCCCCTTTCTCTGCTCAGTCCCCACGAAGCAGAGGGCAGACAGGGCAGGACGGATGCCCTGCCCTGCCCACAGCTCCTCCGAGCACCTGTTTTCTGCAGCCCTGGAGAGCTTGCAAGAATTCGGTACATGGACTGGTGAAGGGAGAGGCCACCCCGTTTCTTCTCAGTTTCCCCCCCCCCTTTCCTTGGCTAAAAACTGGCTGCTAAATGTCCGAAATTCAACCTGCACACGGACGGACAAAGCAGAGCTAATGGAGGCTTTTTTTTAATGCAAACAAAGATGATTAGGGGCCTGGAGTTTAAAACATATAAGGAACGGTTGCTGGAATTGGGTATGTCTCTAGTTTAACAAAGAGAAGGACGAGGGGAGACATGATAGCAATCTTTCAATATCTCCGGGGCTGCCCCAAAGAAGAGGGAGTCAAGCTATTCTCCAAAGCGCCTGAAGGCAGGACGAGAAGCAACGGATGGAAACTGATCAAGGAGAGAAGCAACCTAGAACTAAGGAGAAACTTCCTGACAGTTAGAACAATTAACCAGTGGAACTACCTGCCTCCAGAAGCAGTGAATGCTCCAATACTGGAAGTTTTTAAGAAGAGACTGGACAGCCATTTGTCTGAAATGGTGTAGGGTTCCTGCCTGAGCAGGGGGTTGGACTCGAAGACCTCCAAGGTCCCTTCCAACTTTATTATTATTATTATAATAATAATAATAATAATAATAATAATAATTATTATTATTATTATTATTATTATTATTATTATTATTATTATTATTATTATTATTATTATTATTATTATTATTATTATTATTATTAACATGTCCTCTTCCTGCCTGCGCATTAAAGAATTATTTCATCTTGATAGATCAGCTTTTTTTTCAGGATGGCCGATCATGGCAGCGACCCTCCCCCCTCCCAAGAACGAGCACCCCCCAAGAGGTGAAGCAAAACACAAGAGAATTTGTACAGGGTAAGAAACCAATTGCTTTATTAGTGTCTCGGAGGCACCAGGTGGAGCTCCGGTGTTTTATCATCCTAGCTTTATCGTGGAAGGCACTGAAGTGTGAGACAAAAATGTCTGTTTCTGGAACATCCCTCTTGCTCCCCATCCTCAGTTCTCCTCTGGAGAACTCTGCCCATGCTCTGAGGCTGGGCTTGGATCGGTGCTCGAATCCTTGTTTAAAAGAGGGTAGAGGAAATCAAGCCACGCCTGGGGAAATTTCTGCTCCCACTTTGCTAGCTTCTGCGAGCTGGGCAGATAAAACGAGGCTGGCAGAAACTCGCTGGTTTTTGAGTTTATTCCATGGGACCAAAACGCTGCCTGGGCCAGCTACAGGACTGGGGGGATTTCTCTCTTAATTATCTTCTTCCCAGGAGGATGCTGGGAAAGTAAGATTGGAAATATCAGATGCTAAACGAAGAACCTGGCCCTGGCGTGGCCAAATACAAATACCCCAGTTCCCAGGGCCCAACCCAGGCTGGCCAAATACTTAGCAGCCGATTGCCAGGGGCTTTCAAGAGTTGTGGCTTTTCCTCTCCCTCTTCAAAGCAAAAGAACAACTGGATATTTCTACCAGGGTTGTTAGATCGTCCCCATTCAAAAGCAGAGGCACCTTTGCCAACATGGGTATCCTGACACCCCCCCCCCCACACACACACAGAGAGATAAATGAGAGTGGATAACAGGAAAATGGATTCCTGGGAAACCAAGGAGAGAAGAAGGGGACGAGAAGGGAGCAGGGTCAAATCACATTTATACTGAAAATCCAGAGCTTTGTTCCACGTATTCCTTAAGTAAGGCACACTAGAAAGTTACAGGAGTCACTATTTGAAAAAAAATCTCCCTCTAGATCAGGGGTAGTCAACCTTGGCTCTTTTATGACTCCTGGACTTCAACTCCCAGAATTCCTGAGCCAGCTGCATGCAGAATTCTGGGAGTTCTGCAGCCGGCATGCTGGGGAATTCTGGGAGTGGAGAGGCTGGGAAACTCCGCACTATAGGTGAAGCCCTTCTGACCCAGACAATGGCGGGGAGGAGGGGATGTCGTAAAAGTTTGCCTGGACAGCTTCAAGGTGCCTCACTTAGAAAAACAGGGTCTGAGACTGGATCTTACTAAACAACTTATTTTCCCTGCTGGGCACAACTAGAGGCAGATGAAACATAACATTTTCTTTTTTTTTTAAAAAAAAAAAACAATTTTGCCAAATTGCTGGTTACAGTTAAGGTGAAGACAAAAGCTATGAGAAACTCAACTTGAGTGCCTTTCTTTCTTTTAAAAAAGAGGGTTTGTTTTTTTTAAAAAAAAAAGTCTATCAGGAAAATGTTAAAGGGCTGCAAATGTTGCCTAACCAAGCTTTTGATTGTCAGTGGGGGTCTCTCTCAGGCTTTGGAAGGAAGGAAGGAAGGAAGGAAGGCAGCTAGAAAAACGGGAAAATTTGTGGAACTGGAACAGAGGGGGTGCCTTTAGCAGGAATCAAACTGGTTGCCACTGGCTGGGATGAGTGGCCGGAAGGGGACCTTTCAGTGGTCTTCTGAGGGCTGGAGGTCCAGGTCCCCTTCCGGCCGGAATTCCAAGGGTTGGTGCCGAATCTCGTCCCCGAATAGAAAGGGCCGGGGCTCCAGCTTGGTTTCTTTGCCTCCTTTCCCATGGCTCTTCTGCCGTGGGTCCTCCAGGAGGTTCTCCTCTAGGGCCTCCTGGCCTTCCAGATGCAGGGAGACCTTTCCGAGACCTTCAGGGCTGATGCCTCCGCTTCTAAGCCCTTCTTCACCGCCTGGGATTGGGGGGGGACTGTGGCTTAGGGTCTCTGCCATGGGGAAGGGGCCCTCCGTGCAGAACTGTGGGGTGATAGTCACCCTCTTGATGAAGCCATCATCTCCAGGAGGGTCTGTCTCCTCCTGCCCGTTGAGGCCGTTGAGAAGTTCGCTTGGCAGGTCTTCCAGGCTTGCTTCCTCCTGGAGCCCGTTAGCCTGGCTCTCCAGCAACGGGTGGGCTTCCCTCGGGACGGGAGATGACCCTTCCGGAGCCTCTGGGGAAAGCCGGGGCGGTCCCCGGTCCTGACCTGCAGGGGGGGCATAGGGGGACCTCTCTTCTGGGGACCCCAGGCCTCCCAGCTCCTCCTCCGCTGCCTTCATCAACTCCTGGTTAAACTCCAGAGCTTGTTCCACAATTTCCAGAATATTGGGGTCTCCCTGGCTGTCTAGAGAAAGGCCCACCACGTCTTCTGGGAATGTCTCAGGGAAGCTGCTTCCTGGGGGATCTTCCACGGTCACCGTTTTCTGCTGGATCAGATCTTCTGGGTCCAAGACGGGGGAGCCTTCGTCCTCACCGGATTCCAGCAGGTCAGACTCCACAGCCCGCCTTGGGCCAGGCAAAATGCTCTCACCTTCCAGCACTATTTCTCCCAAATGAGCCACGCTGGTCAGGGGCGAAACCTTGGCAGGGGCCACAACTGTAGCCTCTGGGTCGCTAAATTCCAAGGGCCCCTGATCTTCCTCCTCCTCCTCCTCCTCCTCCTCCTCCTCGTGCTGGCTATAGCGGGCGTCCAACCCATCTGTTGGGAACCCACCGGGATCTCCTGGCCCCACCTCTTCCTTGGGGACCCCTGGCCCTCTGGCCACCTCGCTCTCCTGCCAAGGGTCTTCCTCGGGCGCTCGGCCTGGGGCCCCTTCCAGTTCTTCCTGCTCATCCTCTCTGGGGACCCCAGACTCCCCAGGACCCATATCCTCCCCCTCTCCTGTGAGCGGTGATCTTTGGACCCCGGCTTCTGCCGGACCCTCTGCGGCCAGCAGCTCTTCTGAGCAGGGCCCGACTTCCTCAGAGAGAGACTGTGGACTGTGTCCGCTTTCTCCCTTTGGAGCGCCTTCCTCCACTCCGTCCTCCTCGACACTTGCGGCGTCTTCTCCTAAAATGGGGGCCTCGGACTCTGGGGCCACAGGAGGCATCTCTTCCCTCTCCAAGGAAGGAAGGGGTGGAGTCTCGGGCACGGTCAGCCCATTGTCCAAAGCCGGGGGGGCTGGCAACGTCTCCCCTAGCAGGGCGTTCTCCTCTCCAGCCCCACCTCTCTCCCTCTGGGAATCTGGGACGGTTTCTAAATGTTTGGGGGTCTCCTCGGACCCTGAACCCTCCCCCCGGGCAACGGAGTCCTCCGCAGGCGCCTCGGTCTCTGGGGGGGAGTCTTGGACTTCTTCTGGACAGGTGGTCTCTTCCCTGGAGGCTGGTGGCTCTCCTGCCTGGGGAGGGTCCAGCCCCAATTCTCTGTCTTCAGAGCCCTCGGGGGCATTTCCCTCCTTCGGCAGCAACGTTCCTGCCACAACAGCCCCACGGACCTCTTCCATCTCGAGGGCATCCATGATGTCTTCTGTTTCCGACACTCCAGAGATTGTGTCACTTGTCCCTGAGCCTCTTTCCTCCACGTTGCTCCCTTCAGCTTGCCATGGGGTCCCTGAGAACCCTCCTCCTCTTCCTCCTCTTCCTCCTTCCTCCTGTTCCTCCGGGGTCTGCTCTTCAGGCACCTCCGTTCCTTGCTCCTCTTGAAGCATCTCCTGCACCTGGAGGCTTGCTGCGTCCTCCCCTGGGAAGGCCACCCCCCGTTCCCAGGTACTTTTGGGTGCCTCCCCATCCAGGGGCCCTTCGGTCTCCATTGTTCCTTCATCTCCCGTATCTTCTGTGGGAAGAGATCTGACGACATCTCTCTCCTCCTCCTCCTCCTCCTCCTCCTCCTCCTCCTCTTCTGCGGCTTCCCTGCTCTCGACCTTCTCTGGCTCATCTGCCGAGATGCCATCTTCATCTAGGGCAGAACTTGAGCTTCTGGGCTGGGCACCTTCGGTGCAGAAGAGCTCAGAGTCCAGACCCTTCGGCTGGTTCTCTTCCTCTGGCGGAGCAGAATCGGCCTCCTGAAGAAGCTCTTTGTGGCTCTCCACGCTCTTCTGCTCCCCCACCGGGAAGAGAGCTGTTTGGTGTTCACCTGCAGACGATGCTGTAAGGATGGCGGGTGACGGGTCTTCCTCGGCTGGGCTGCCTGCCACCTCCAGGTGCTCCCTCTCAAACAGCCCGGCCTGCAGATCGCACGGTTCACCTTCCCTGGGGGGACTCTGGGGGTCTTCTCTTCCCTCAAAGAGAAGGTCTTCTGGGCTGACCATCTCCACTTCTTCTGTCCCTCCATGGACCTCCTCTGGCTTCACTTCCGGGGCTCCCTCGGGGATGTCAGAGGGGGGGCTGTCAAGCTCCCAGCCTTCCTGGTTGCCGCTCACCTTTGCAAGGGCCTCTGAGTTCCTGGGTGCTTCTCCCAACGGATTCCCCAGCGTCATCCCCAGGAAGGCCGGCAGCTCCTCATCCGTCTCGCCCTCCTTCCATTCCGGAGACCCCCTTTCTTCGTCCCCCTCCTGTTCTCCAAGGACCAGAACTGCCCCACCTTCTTCCGCCCTCTCTACCCTCGGCGGTCCTGCTCCCAGGGCCCAGGGGGCCTCTGCCTCCAAGGCCTCCCAAGCCTCCTCCGGCCCATGCAGCTCAGCCCAGGCTTCCTGGCCACCGTTGACCTCTGCAAAGTCTTCACAGACCTGGAGGTCCTCCAGGGGATCGGCGGGCTGGCTCTCCCCTGTGTGATCTTCCCGGGCCTCCTCGGTAGGACTCGGGGGAAGAGTGTCCTTCGTCTCCTCTTCCAGGGATGAAGCGCCGTCAGAAGAAATGTCTGCTTGGCTTTTGACCGCCTTGAGCAAGCTGGATTCAAGGTGGGTTTCTTTGGGGCTCACTTCCTGGATCGCAGTTTCTACGGCTTCGGTCACCATCTGGCTCAGAAAAGGCCCATTCAGGACTTCCCTCTCGGCTGGTGGCTCGTGGCGGAGCCGTGTCTCTTCCTCCTCCTCCTCCTCTTCTTCTTCCTCCAGCCCCTTTTCTCCAAAGGCTTTTCCTTCCTCCCCTCCTCTACCTTCGGCCTCCCTCTCCACTCCCTTTTTGCTCTCCTCTCCTTGATCCAGGCTCTCGGGGGACCTTCCCGAAGCCTCTTCCAGCTCCAGGGAGTGGAAAGCCAGAGGGGGCTGTGTGCAGAAGATGGACTGGGCCAGGCTCTCCAGCTGGGTGACCGTCACCCTCTGGCTGTGCTGGGAGGCGTCCAGCCGAAAGGCAGAGGCCTCCTTTGGCGGCGGCGGAGGCAGCAGCAGCAGCCCGTCGGCGCTTCGGCTGGCCTGAGAGTGCCGGAGGGAGGCGTTGGCCTTTTGGAACTCCCTGGCCGCGGAGCTCGGGCTCTTCGCCCCCCAGGGGGCCGACTCGACTTTGCTGTGGAACCCCCGAAGCTTTGGGAAGGCGGCAAGGCTGGGGCGGACATCCCAGCTCCCCGAGCGGCCCCCGTCCATCGACGGCCCTGGCAGCCTGCCGTGAGCCGACTCGGTTATTGTCGCATCTGCAAGCAAGAGAAATGGGGAGCATGAGGAATGGCTGCTGGACTCACCTGGAACCAGGTGATCCTCTGCTAAGACTGATCCGCTCAGGCAGATCTGCCCCACTTTGAGAAAAGTCACCATGGCAGGGGGTGGGGGGGCAGGACAGCAGAGCCTCTGGGTAAAGGTCTGCAAAGCATCCTAAGGGGAGGATCGGCCCCTCTCTCTCCCAACAGCAATGGGTTTCCTCTGGCCATTTTTGGTGCGAAAAGTAATTTAGCACCACCCACATTTTTCCTGGGGGACTCAGAAATTACGAAGGGGTGCTGGATAGACAAACGGGGAGTCGTGACCCGGTTAAGTTCTCTTTCTGGCTCAGGAAAAGCTCGGACTTTCCCTGCTGAAAGGCAGCCCTGTGGTGGGCTCAGATTTTTACCACTCTTCAGGCCTCCCCCCACCCCAAGCCCCCCACTCACCCCTACCTCGGAGCCCCCTGGCCAGCTGTAGATCAGTGGCTGGCAGCTGCAGCCTGGCGCTCTCGGCTTCCAAGAGGGTCCTGCAAGACAGAGAGGGAGGGGGAGAAGCGCTTGGGGGTCGTTTCTGGTGCTGGTTCCTCAGCCAGGCCTCCTCCACCTTCCCAGCGTTGGGAGGCTCACCCCCTTCCCCCCCCCGCGCGAGTCAGGAGGGGCGGGGGCTGGCAGGAGCAGGCTGGTGGTGACATCATGCGAGTCTGCTGGCCTCCCCCCCCTTACCGGCCCGCGGGGCCATTCTCATGCTAATGAAACAGGAACCCCCCCCTCGCCTCCTTTTATGTGGGAACCGTCTGGGGGAGGAGAAGGGAAGGGGGCAGAGGGGAGGTTCCCATGAGATTCATGGGGGGGGGGCAGCGGGGCCGTCTGCAAGGAAGGAGGCAGAGACGCGCGGGGCTCCCGTCCGTTGCGCAGGAGAAAGAAGCGGGTCGGGGGCTCCGGGGCCCCTGAATGGGGCAAAGGGGGGTCGGGGGGGAGCGCAGCGGCTGCTGTGCCTAAAGGCAGCGGCTGCCCCCCCCGGCTTTGTTTTAGAGCCCGCCCCGTCCAGCCCTCTCGGTGGCCGGGCGAGGTGCGGCGGGGAGACTCGGGGGGCTGCGCGCGGCGGGGCGGGGGGCGTCCCTCCCTCACCTGTAGGTGGCCACTTCGAGGCTGAGCGACATCTTCAGGTGCATGAGCTGCTGCCGGTCCTCCAGCACCTGGGCGATCTGGCCGCGCAGCGACTGCTTCTCCTCCTCCAGCGCCTCCATGGCCATCTGTGGGGCAGAGAAGGAGAGCCCGGCAGGGTCAGCCACCGAGGCCCGGGGCGGGGGGCAGGGTCTGCTTTCTGGGGGCAAAGGGGGTGCATGCTGCAGGAGGCCCCGAGGATGGTCCAAGTGGGGCTCTGGGACAGGACCCCCCCTCCCCTCCCCGCCGGCAACTGCAGGGAAATCCCGCGTGTCTGCCACGCGAGTGGGTGTGGCGGCAGCCCAGCGCTGAGTTTTCAAAGTCTTCTTTTGTTCTGCTATATTAATATACTCCAGCCTGGAATCTTGGCCCGGCCCGGCCCCCTTCCTCACTCTCAGCCCGTTTCCTTCAGATCGGGTCCAGCAAAAAGATTCAAGCGTGCCTTGCATCCCCTCCTCCCAATTCCAAGACACATACATCCCCCCCCCACACACACACAGGCATTCCTCTGCTCACAAAAGAAGTACTGGGAATGATTTGGTTAGTCCTGAGTGGGGCAGGGCGTGGCCCCCTCCCGCTGAGCTCTGGATGCAAGGACTGTGGAGGGTGTGTGTGTGTGTAGGGGGGCACTGACTGCCCCCCATCCCCAGGCGGGTGTATTTCAGCCTCACCTTCAGTGCTGGAAGGATAAGAAAAGATGAACCCAACTTTCTTTTCCTTCAAAACATCTCTGACTTTTTAGAAGTGCCCCTTCCCAGCTCCCTACCCCCCCCCCCCCCGCAATCAAGGGCTGCTTGGGCGAGGGTTGGGATTGCATTTATCAAAGGGGGGGGCACCCCAACAAATATGCAGTTCTTTCCAGAGACAGGCGAGAGAACGCACTGAAAGGAGGCCCGCCGTAATTAGTGGGTCTTTCACCTCCAAGCAGCAAATGGGGGGGGGGTTGCAGGGTGCTCCCCACTCCCCTCTGAGGAGGCTATGAACGGGGGGAGCAAGGGAGGGTGTCCATTTCACAAGGGACCCCTCGCCCCCACCCAAGAGGCAACAACACCCAGATTTGTGCAAAGCTGAGGTGACTCCCACCACCCTCCAGCTGCCCAGCCCAGCTTGTGTGTCTCAACCAGATGCCGATGGCTGAATCACAAGCCTTGGTTGCCCTTTTGCCAGCCACATTCCTTTTCCTTCCTACAAGCCACTTTTCTAAGCTTCTAAGGCGGGCAGCCGGGCGGGCATCCCCCAGCCCTGCTGGACTCAGAGGGGGGCTCCGTGCCAGCCACCCCACACCCACCTGCAGCTTCTCCGCGTCGCCCTGCTGCTGAGCCCACTGCTGGGAGAGGCTCTCTTCCAATGCCACCTTCCGGGCCTTATGGCTGGCCAGCTCCTTCTCCAGCTGTTGCAGCTGCAGCTGGTTCTGCCGGTTGCGTTCGGTGGCCTTCCAGAGGTTCTCCTTGGCTTCGCAGAGGGAGGCCTCCAGCTGCGAGACCTCCGTCTTGTAGGTCTCCACCGCTCCTTTCCAGATGTTGGAGAGCCTTTTGGCGTAGTCTTCCACTTCCACCGGCTGGAAGCAGACGGGCACCGCCCGGAAGCCGTCCAGGCTCTGGGAGAAGCTGGTCATCTCCTGCTCCAGCCTCAGCAGCTCCTCTTGGTGGGCCTCCACCAGGTCTTCCACCTCTTTCTCCAGCTGGGTGGCCTTCTCCCTCAGCCAAATGTGGGCCCGCTTCTCCTCCTCCATCTCCTTCTTGCCCATGGACAGGAGCATCTTGGCCTCCTCCTGCGCTGCCCTCTCCCTCTGGCAGTGGCTTCTCACCCGCTGGGCCTCCTCGTGGAGAGAGTCCCTGGCCAGCTCCGCCACACACTTCTCCTGATAGGCACGGTCCAGGGTGACCCGGAGCGCGGCCACCTCCGCCTCGTACTTGGCCCTCCAGGGGGTCTCCACCAAGCCCCCCTTCAGGCCTTCGATCTCGGCTTTCAGCAGCTCGTTCTCCTCTTCCAGGAACTTCACCCTGGCCAGGTAGGCCTCCAGACGCTTGTTGAGGTCCCACATCTGGAGGGAGTCCTCTCCCAAGGGCCGTGAGGAGTACCCGAGGAAGCTCTCCATCTTCCGGGCGCCTTTCGGAGGCAGAGTCCAGCCAAGAGACAGAGAGAGAGAGAGAGAGAGAGAGAGAGAGGGAGGGAGCCAGGCTGCTGCTGCTGAACGAGGGCTGGGCAGCTCCGCACCACTATTCATAGGGAGGGGAGGCTCCTGGGCAAGGAGGCGGGGCTTAACACCTCCCCCCTCCCTCCCTCCCTGCCCCCCATCGCCGGGGAAGAGCGGCATTCCTGGAGAAGCTGGGTGGGAGGAAAGAAGTCTCGCGGATGCCTCTTCAGCAGCTGTTCCCCTCTGGCTGGGGTGTCCCCCCCCCCAGAAATCAAGAAACTCCTCAGCATCTCCCTGGTAGGGGGGCTCCCCAAGTTGCCTCATCTTCTCTCTCTCTCTCTCCCCCTCCCCAATTTCTCTCTGAATCCACGCCACCATGTGCCTCTGGAGCAAACAATGCCCGCGGGAGGGAGGGAGGGACTCTAAAATGTGTGGGGCAGAAGATGCCAAAAGAGAGCAGTGGCATTTCAGAGCCCCCCCCCCCACAGCTGTGATGAGCTGGGTTCCAGGCAGGCTTTTTTTTGGGAGGGGGGGCTCTTTTCCTTTCTCGCCAAATGCACGGATGGCAATCATTTGGGGGGAGTCTCTGTTCTGTGCGCCCCACCTACCTTATTGCTTCCGGTCAGAAAGGCAACTTTTTAGAGAAAGTCCAAAGGGGTGTTTGTGGAGGGGGGGGAGTGGATGAGGAGTTGGGGGAAGCAGGGTGGGTTTCCAAGGGGGGACCAGGCTGTCTGGGATGCCACAGAAGAGACACCCGGTGCCCTTGGATGGAAACGCAGCCTCCCCCAAAGAGTGCAAGGGCGCCATCTGGTGGACAGAAGGGCCAAGGGTGGAGCGGGCTCTTGGGGGGCCCCTGCCACTCCAGAGTCTCCCCTTTTCCTTTGGGATCTGACGGACGGCGAGTTCTGTGCAAAGATGCTTCTAGCTATGGGGCCGGAGAGCAGAACCCCTCCCCCTTTGCAAAATGATGGGGCGAAGAAGGCTTGATGGTGGGGCAGGGACGCGGTGATGAGGGTGGTGGTCCCATGCAGCCTCCATTCCCCGCCATTCAGTCAGAACTGAAGAAGCTTCTTGGATGAGAAGCGAAAGGTCTTCAAAGAAAAATAAGAAAGTCCAGTTGCCTTTGGGTTAATCCCGTGCCCTCAGAATGATTTATTTGACGTTTGTGTGCACACGTGTGTATGTGTGTTTTTCTCTGTGCGTTGCGGGAGAGGCTATAAAGATTTTAATTAGTACAGAAACAGTAGAACCGAAACCAATTTTGGCCTTCAGGAACTGGCAACGTCTCTGGGGGTGACTAGAGGCGCCAGACCAGCCACTAAGGTTGCCATGACTCGCAGGAAGCTCACCCCAAACTCTCATCAGGGGGTCCCCAAGCCAAAGTCCCTCCCTCTTCTTTTGGGGGTGCCCCCCACCCCACCCCGTGCGGTGACTTCGAAAGCAGAAGACTTTCCAAAAGCTTTATTGAGGGCAGGCGGGGATTTCTGCCTCCACCAGCCGGCCGGAGGTCGGTGGATCCATCGGGGGCGCGTTCCGGGCCGTCGGGCGCCTCGCCTCTTCCCTCCTGGCAGCCGGCAGCGCGGGGGGCAGCCAGGGTGGGCCGTCCTCCGCCTCCTCCTCCTCCTCCTCCTCGTCCTCTTTCTCCTCTTGGTCGTCCCCGGAGAGCTCGCGCGGGGGCACCTGGATGCCCAGTTCCGCCTCCACCCGCCACAGCCGGCTCCGCACCCGGCGCAGTTGGCCGCGCAGCGCCTTGATGGAGCGGACGCACTCCTGGCAGCTCCGGTAGTCTCTTTGCCCTGAGAAGCAGAAGAGCAGCCTCGGGGCTCCGCCAGCCAGGCCCCCCTCCTTCCCGCAGCGCCGCCCCCCCGACACCTCCCCAGGGCGCAAAGCAGAGCCCCGGACCCGCCGCGCGTCCTCAGCCGCGGAGCAGGACGCAGCTCTTGGAGCCGGACCCCGAGACCTGCCCGGAGGAGGCGCCCCAACCGGCGGACTCACGGTCGTGGAGGTGGCGCTCCTGGCGCTCCAGGAAGGTCTCCAGCGCCTCGTGCAGGTCGGGCAGGTGCGGCGGCAGCGGCGGCGGCGGGGCGGGCGGAGGCGGGGGCTCGGGGAGCAGCAGCAGGGAGCAACCGGAGAGGGGGGCGGCGGCGGCGGAGATCCCCTGGCGCCAGGAGGCCAGGGCCAGCAGCTCGGACGGAGGCGGCGAGGGGCGCCTCGGGAAAGAGCCTGCCGGAGCAGAGAGGGCAACGTCGGCCGAAGCACCGGGGGAGGCGCGCAGGGGGGGGGGCGGGGGCGGGCCAGGGAGCGGCCGGTGATCCGGGCGCACCTTCTGTTTCCCGGCGCTGCAGGCGGACCTCGGCGCGGATGAGTCTCCGGCGGCTGCGGCAGATCTGCAGGCTGAGGGCGCGCAGGGCGCGCGGGAAGTCCCGGCAGCTGCGTCGGATCCTCAGCTCTGGAGCGGAGGGAGAGCGAAGGGCAGGATTCGGCGGCGCCCGGAGGGGGGGGTCAGTGGCCCCAGGAGCCCGGATACTTACGCCCCCGGAGATACTGGCCCTGCAGCGCCTTCAGCGCCTCCAGCCGCTCTTGCAGCGCCTCCAGGCTGAGCGCGGGGCCCGGCGCCCGCTCCCGGGGCTGGCTGGCCGAAGGCGGCGGGGCTGCGAAGTCGAGGGAGCCCGAGCTGGAGGCCGGCGGAGGCGAAGGCGGAGGGGACGGCGAAGGAGGCGGCGGCCTCGCTGCAAGGGGCAGGAGAAGCGGCTCAACGGGAGGGCGGGAAGCATCGGCACCGGAGCGCTGCTGCCCGGCCCATCCCGGGGCTGCCCTTGCCCGGGGGAGGGGGCCAGACCCCGGCCCAGCACTCACCATCTTCTGTCTCTTCTCTCTTCCCGGGGAGGCTGCTGAGAGGACCAAGAAGGGTCATCAGGAGCAGCCCAGGGTCCCCAGGGCCAACCCCCCCCCTCCTCCAGCATCCTCTGACTGGCCCTCGGCCCACCTCGAGGGAGCTGGGAGACCCCCGGTGCTGCCCAGAGGGGGCCACGGTAAACTCTGCGAGTGGCAGGAGCACAAAAGCCACCCGAGGCCTCCGTGATGGTTCCGGGCAAGGTGGGGGGCATCCTTCGCAGAAGCCCCTGGACTCCCAGCCCACCCACCCCTTCTCCAGAGACTCTGCCCACGCGGGGCACGTCTGGGCTCTGATCGTCCAACCCAACCAGTGTCAAGGAGATGAAGAGGCAAAACCGCCTCCCTTGGCCCGATCCGTTTGGAGGGACGTTGGGGCTCCCAGGGGCCACTCACTCGCGGTTGCTGTCACGGCTGGGCCTGCGGGAAAGGAGAGGGGGGAGGGAGAGGCCCAAATGCATCAGGGCCTCCCTCTGGCTGGAAGGGCAGACTCCGGGAGCGGGACGGGGTGATGGGTGCTTGGGAAGAGGCTAAGGGAGAGGGGCCCCACCAAGTGCCTTTTCCCAAACCCAGCACCCCTCCAGCCAAGGGGCCCCTCTGGGGTTGAGGGTCCCTGCCTCTGTACAGGGGGGGGCTTCCTGTCCCATCAGTACCTGCCCCCTAAACAGGACAGCCAGCTTCCCATCCCACGGCCGAGGGGGCCTGTTTGACTTGCTGCCGCTGCTGCAGATTCCTGCCATCTCCAGGGCCCCGGATTCCAGGGCTTTGTGAGGTCAGAACTGCCACCTCCCAGCCCCCCACCCTCCAGAGCCCCCCCTCAAGATCTCTGCTGACGGGAGAGGCAGGCACAGAAGGGATCGATGGACCCCCATTTCAAACCCTTCCAAAATCTCAGGCAGTCTTCTTTCTGCTGGGAGAAAACACCCTGGCGGGGTAGCAGTCGGGTTTTTTTTGGGGGGGGGGGAGGACCAACCCACCCACCCCCAAAACTCAATTCAAATACAAGCCAGGGACCCAGTTCTTTAGGGAGGCGGTGGGTGTCTTTCCGCTGGTTCCATCCAAGTCAACGCCAAAGAGCTGTTCGATCATGGAGGTTTTTAATTTTAATTTTGATGGTCCCTTGGCCTCTTCCAGGCTGTCTGTGAATGCCCCCCCCCCCTGCCCCCAAGCCTTTGCAGCAGCCCCCCCTCACTAAATTGTGCAAGGCATCTGTGGAACACCCGAGCCCTTCCTGGGGGAGGCAACTTTGTGTAAGCCCTGAGAACAAGGCAAGTGGGGGCCAGGCTGCATTCCCCCCCCTCCTCCTGTTTTGGGAGTCCTCGTTTTCCACCAACCAATTGCAGTAGCCAAGGGGCACCCCCTCCCCCTGGGACTCCTAAGGATACCCACACCCTGTGCAAAAGGCACCTTTGCAAACCCCCCCTTTCACAGGAGACCCCCTTTTCGGTGAAGGAGGGGGCTGTGGCGGCCCCTGCTTTCCAAAGAGGCAACGACAAGGCACGGCTGTGTGTGTGTGTTTTTTTTAAAAAGGCATCCAGCTGCGTTTATTCCAAAGTGACCGATCGGTAGAGTCCCTCTAGAAATTAGGACTAGCTCAAAGCGTAGGACCGGCGAAAACGGGCCGGGCCAGGAGAGATGCAGGGCGGGCTGGGCAGAGACCGTTTCCTGTTCCTGGGGTGGAAAGGTCGGATCGCGCTCCCTCCCTGCCCAGCGCCGGACACACGGAAAGGAGAGGCGGTTGCAGTCTGGTTGGTAGCACCAGGGGCCGAAGAGCAGACGGCCGGCTACGGGCTGCAGGAGGGGGAGAAGAACAGGATGGAAACGGAATTCTGCGATTTGCCACCTCCCCCCCCAGCAAGGTGATACTCAAGATAGACTCTGCTGGTCCATGGAGGTTCCACCCGGCTCCCCCTTCTCCACCGTGCCTGCCTACCTCTTCTCATCATCTCTGCTTTCCTCCTCTTCTTCCTCTTCTTCCTCCTCCTCGTCTTCCTCTTGGGCAGCCTTTTCCTTCTTCTCTTTTGCTCCGGGCACGTCGGTGGGGGGGCTGCCACCCCCACCACCGTTCTTCCCCTCGCCCCCTGGTTCCAGCAGAGCCGGCTTCTTCGGATTCCCGGCTTCGTCCTCACGGCTCATCAGCTTCTCCCCAGCCGCCTCCGCCTGGTCCTCCCCGTCTTTCATGCGCTTGGGGGAGGGGTCCTGCCAAGGGGGCCAGCCGCTCTCAGTGAAGGGGGGGAGGGCAGAGAGGGCAAGTCCCGGGGCCACCCTCCCGCCAAGGCCCGCAGGCGCCCTACCTCCGGGGCCTCTCGGGCCCGCCTCTTGTGGGCAGTCTTCTGGTTCTTCTCCCTGACCTGCTCGTCGATCACCAGGTCCCCCTCCTCTTCCTCTTCCTCTTCTTCCTCCTCGGGGCTGCCCCTCCTGCCAGCCTCGGGATCCTCCTTCGCCTTCCCCTCCTCCAGGGGGCGCTTCTTCTGAGCCGGCTGCCAAAGCAAGCTGCCATCAGCAGGAACCCCCCCCCCCCGGGAAGGGCCAGCGGGCAGGCCTGGACCCCGGGGGAGGAGTGAGGCAGCGGGGCCGCAGGGCCCAAGGCTGCCTCGGTTTCCCCAGGGGAAGCAAACTCAGTCCTGGCTTCCCTGTTTACTCCCCTCTTGTATCAGCCTAGTAGTTAATGCTGAAGGGTCCTTGCTGCCCCCCTCCCTCCGGACGCTTCGTAGCTGTATAAAGGTATCAGAGCAACGGGGGGGGGGGGGCTCGGCCAAGGCAGCCCAGGGCCCCAGCAGAGCAGAAGCTCCCCCCTCTGGCCCTGTCCCACCCACCTCTGGCCCTGTCACACCCACCTCTGGCCCTGTCCCACCCACCTGGTACCCCGAGGCCTTGATGGTGGGGTCGTTTTCGATCTCCCACAGGCCTTCGCTGAAGCCTTTCCGCTTGCTGGTTTTGCCAAACTTCGCCTTGCACTCTTCGTAGGGAAAGAGATCCTTGGCACCCAAAAAGGCCCTGCGGGGGGGGGGGAGGGGAGGGAGAGGGGGAGATTGTCAGACTCCCCTGGCATGAAAAGGGCATCTGAAAAAAAGTGGGCAGGGCACATTTCCTAGCCGGTTGGAAGAGAAAGGGAGTAGAGAGAGCCCCCTCCAGCATCAGAGGCACTCTACCTTCTCCAGCTGAGGAAGGGATGACGCCCCTCCCTCCATCGCTGGATGAGTGTGGGGGGGGTTTTCCCTGTGGGCATCTCCCGGGGAGCAGCAAGGCCCTGATCCAGCACAGCTCCTCACAACATTACTCACGTCTCATGAGTCCCAAAGAAAAAGACCTGGTACTTGTTGGAAGTGGATTTCACAGCGGATTCCGGCATCTCATCAATCTGTGGGGGGGGGGAGAGAAAGGAGGGGTGTCGGATGCCCGCTTGGCTGGGGGCCCTGAACCAGTGCCGAGGCACAGCCTGGCACCTCCCCGGCCCTCCCTAAGCTCCTGTCTAGACGCCCCAGGCCGAGCAAACTCAGCGGAAGGGCCGTGGGGAGGAGCATCAGCAGAAGGGGAAGGAGGGGGCTAGCAGATGCCGGTCGAGCCCCCCTCCCCTTCTGCAAGGCCCTTAGCTTGCTCGCCCTTCCCCACAGCCCCTGGGCAGCAAAAGAGAGGCTGGAAGGAGCGGTGGGTCAGAGGGCCCCTCCCTGCCTGAAAGCCCCTCCTCTGGGGACTTTGGAGGAGGGGGGCTCGACTTGAGTGCGCCCCCTCTGTTCCCTGCAAACTCTTCCACAAAGACTTTCCAGATAACTCAAACCCAGAATATGACAACCGAGAGAAAAAAGATGAATCTCCTGCAGCCAAATTTGTGTTCTCTCACCCCCACCCCACCCCCCCAGGTCAGGAGATGCTGTGTGGGGGGGGGAGGACGACACGAGGCTCCACCCCCCAAAGGGGCGTCTTGTGTTTTGCAGTCCTGGGGTTTCATCTCCCTCCCGGTCCTGGAAGCCACAATCAAGCTGCCGCGCTTCACAGGAAGCCGGAAGCCGGAGAGCAAGGCAGAGCCCCCAGGGACAAAGGCAGTCTACCTTCGCACGCTGGATGCCCGCCAGCGCCAGCACGTGCCCAACACAAGCAGGCTTCTCCGGAAGTCAGCCACAGACTTTGCCCAAACAACTACCTGGCCCAGCCCTGCAAAATGGGGAGCCCCGGCTCCCGATCCTGGTTGCTCCTGACCCAGGGCTTGGTGGCTTCTGCTTAGTCACCAGGCCAGCCCACCCCCCAAGCCAGCCCACCCCCTCCAGGGCTTGGGTTTCCTTGCCCAACCAGTCAGCCAGGTCCAGAAAGGGCCCCTCCAGCAGCAAAAGCAGGGGCTGGGCCAGGAAGGGGGCTGCCCCTCTGCAAAGGGGGGGGAGGACGCAACCCTTTCCAATGGGGAGGAGCCAAGGCAGGCAGGAGGGGAGATTCAGCAAAATGGAGACCCAGCCCAGGCTAAACCTTGGAGGGCACCGCTGTATGTCTGGGAGAATTGGGGGCACTGCCTACCACAATCAGGAACCCCGGAGAGTGGGAAGAGAAGACCCCCCCCCCAACCATCTTGGGATCCTCCGAGGACTGCTGCTGCTCCCCTGTCTGAGTTTCTGACCAATCGTGATCACCTCCAGCCTATCTCTGAAAGCGGTAGAACTTTTATTCATGGTTCCCCAAGATAAGCTGGCTTTCCCGCTGGGAGGGGCTCCTCCCAAGCCAGGGCAAAGAGAGATTCCTGGCTCTTTTCTGCACAAAGGCCGTGGGCGTTCAGGGCAACACCCCCACTCGATTCCCCCCCTCCCCCACGCCCTTTGTGGGTTCCATCTTTTGCCCACATGCTGCGATTGTGATCCTGCCGAGTGCTCTCGTGGCTGATGCCTCAGGAGACGGGGCATGCCCCCCCCACCAGCTCTCCAGGTGCACCAGCAGACTTTGAGCAGGTTCCCCCCCCCAAAAAAAATGGGAAGCCCAGATGGACTTTCGGCTCTTTCCCCAAGGGAGCCCCCTCCCCTCTCTTCCAGCAAGCTAAACTTAGCATCTTTGTGACTCTCAGCACCCAAGGGCCAATTCAGCCCCCCCCACGGTCCCTAAAAAAAAAAAAAAGCCCCTCCCCCCTCCCCCCACTTTGCTGGCCTGGTGTCAGTCAGTTGGGCTCCCATTCAGGAAAAAAAAAAGCTGCCAGTGATTCATCGCTGTGGTTGCTAGACTGTTTAACCAGCGTTTCCCAACCCTGGCAGCTGGGACTTCAACTCCCAGAATTCCCCTGTGCAACTTCCAGGGCAAAGGCGGGCGGGACGCATTAGGAAAACTCCCCCCCTTCGTAGTTCACCTTCCTTAGGTGGGCATGCAGTGTGCACGCACCTTAGCAGTCCCTTACTCAAATGGAAACCTGCCTGTCCTGGCACGAAGCTTATCCCCACGTTAGCAGGCCCAGCCCAGCGTTGGCACGGCCGTGTGTGTGTGTGTGTGTGTGTGTGCGTGTGTGCGTGTGTCCTTGAATAACTGAATTTAGGATGACTTTATATCAAACCGATCTCAGCTGTATTTGCCTAAGAGCCCGCCTGTTGTTTTGGCTTGATCAACAACACCATCCACCGTTTTAGGGGAAAAAAAAGATTGGGAAACAGCCTCGTTTCTAGTCCTCAGGGTTACAAAACACGCTGCAAGTCCAAAACCCAAAAAACCACAGAGGCGGCAGCCAGCGTTGTCTCAAGAAATCTGCCACATTTGGGATCCTAATTAGCCACAACGCCAACATTGCTAGGAGGGAAGGGGGGGGCGCCATTAAAAACGCGCTGGGGTGCAAGATAAGTGGAGGCCAGTCTCTCTCCCCTCCCCCCCCAAAAAAGCTGGTCCCAAACCGGCCCCTTTCCAGCCAGACCCGTCTTCAGCCACTAACGCTTCGGTTCTCTCTTCCCAACCGTGCCCCGCTCTCCATCCCCGCCGCCGGTTCTGCAGAGGGAGACCCCCCCTCCCCAGCAGCGCCATGCGAAGAAAAGGCCGCTTCCCGCCGGGGTCCCGCCTGCCTCCAGGGCGGCCTCCACGCGGCTCCCACGCGGGGCACCTGCCGGCTGGCTCTCTTTTGCAGATCGGCCCGGCCGATCGCGGACTCCGCTCCCGGATTTTTCCAGCCCGGAGGTCGGAGCTGCGGAGGAAGGCAGGCCGCGGCGCCCAAGTTGAGAGATCCCCCCCCTGCCCGGCCCGGCGTTCGCCTCCCGCGCGGGAGAGGCCAGGCCCGGCGGCGCCACGGCGGAGCTGCCCGGGCAGCGCTTCCACCCACCCCCCCTCCACGGAGGCGAGCGAGCGGGCGCCCTTCCGCTTACCCGGGCGGGCCAGTGCGGGTAGCCCTTCATCTTGGCGAAGACCAGGTCGCCGCACTTGTAGTCGCGCGGGCGGCCGGAGCGGGACATGGCGCGGGCCGAGGGGCGGCTGCAGCGTCCCTGCCGAGGCCGGCTTTTGGCCGAGCAACAGGCGCGCCGGGGCCGCCGCCGCCTCCGCCTCTGCCGAGCGCTGCGCTGCGCTCGCTTGCAAGGGCCGCCGCCGGCGCCGGGCTCTTCGCACGCCTGGCTGCAGCGGGCGGAGGCGCCTGGCGGGGCCGGAGCAGCGCGGGAGGCGAGGCGGGGGAGCGGCGAG